GGAAAGAGTACTACAAGAGAGGGCCTGAGGGAAACGACATTCACAAAACAAATGTGCCTAATATCCGTTTAGAGTTCCGGAACACGGTATGGAATTGTTCTCTTTTATTCTCCTGCATAAACTTTCGCATCTTGTCCGAGGAGTTGGAAATATAATATTCATTTGAAAGATTGATATTCCCAAATATGACTGTACCAAAGGGTTTCAGCTACATGCTTACTGGGCCATTGCCTGGTAGCTTTTATGCTGACTGAGAGTTAGACAGACTACTTCACCAGAAAATACAAATTGCCCAGCAATAACAAATCAACGTCTGAGCATGTTTTGCTTAGTGCATTATTGAAGATACAACGAGGTAATATAATACATAAAAGCAAACTACAATATGCAGATATGGAGAGAAGAGATGCAGATGGTCTATCAGGGCAACGCCGACATCCCTGGTGAAATAGACAGGTGGTGATGCTGCTTTTGCATATCCCCAAGTTCTACTCCATGGCATGAGGTAAGTTTTTCCCTTCGCTTCTGATACATTTCTCTCTTGCCCACAAATCTGTGCCTTATTTAGTTAATATATGGCTTTCGGGTTTGAAACAGGCTCGGCCTTCGCCCACTTTATTGGGCATCCAAACGATGATACATACTACCGCTATATGTATACGCAGAAAAGTAAGTCCAATAAGTCAGAGATATTGGCCAAGGTATGAATGTAATAAGAGCAGAGGGTTTGCCTATGGGTAGGGATCCCGAGAGAATATGGAGGGTCGAAATCGACATGTTTGTTGTATGTTTAAATGTGGGATTATCACTTGTCAATTATTCAAACTCCTTGGCTTCACCTTTTTTTTTCCAACTACTATTATTCAAAGTTCATCATCTACCGGAGACTTGGTTGTGATTCTTGATGTCAATATCCCGATTTCACCCTCGCATTTGAGACATTGTAGGGTTATTCCTCAAACTTCTTATGTTGGTAAGTTTCGGAAAAGAAACCTCTGTTTCATTGTGTACAAAATCTATGATTTGTTTAAACTAGTTTACTCTTAGAATTCGTACGAGTTATTTTTTCCCTTTCGCTGCAATCTCTAGAATTTAGGTGTAATAGTGGATGCAACTCAAATAAAGCAACAGGTGGGAATGTAATCACTAGTCGATATTTTCATTTGGTTCCATTCCACTAATACGAGATTTTAGTAAGCAGCAAGAAGAGTAAGAAGCCAATGGGTGCCAGTAAGAACCCAATGAGAGTAAGTAACTAACGTCTGGGGTTCTTATGCGGAGATAAGTTGGCACGAGCTCTGATCAATCAAATTGGGCTTCTCGACCACTCTGAAATAAAAATGTAGAAGCGATTTGATCGGCACCGTGACCGTGCGTTGACTTCTTGGTTTCTTTTCCTGGGCAATCTATGCAACGTAACACAAACAAATGGACAAGAAGCAGCCGCCGCCGCCGCCGCCGCCGCCAGTTGCACAACAATGTCAAAGAGACATTTGGTTGAAGATGGACAGTCATATAACAAATCAAATGCAAAATCCCTACAAGTCTTTTTTTTTTTTTTCAGTTTCCTGGATAGAGCTGGTGGCTCTACCACCCAGGCATCCATTTGGTCCCTTAATTCTCAAGAATAGTGAAAAGAAAATAGAAAAAAAAAACATTTTGTCAAAAAAATTAAGTTCGGTTGATGAAATTAATCATCAACCAAAACAACAATGTGTTCGTTTATTGTCTACTTACGGTACTCCCGCATCGCTTTGATGACACCGTCGGTCAACGAGTCAACATCGTGATTCTTCCCGTAGAACTTTACGAAATCCATCTCAGGGCTCATCAAATACCTGCCACCACACATTTGGCTTCCTCATTAGAAGGGTTCCATTCTCCAGCAACAACATCCCATCATTATTATTCGAACACTTCTTACTCTACAAAACCTTTCATAGAAGAATATAATACCCACTTTCACCTGATTATTCCCCCCAACATAACAATTTTGGGATAAAGATCAAACAAATCCTAAAAAAAAGGGCCAAACTCTGGAAAAAAAAAAAGAAGCAAAAACAGGGTCTGCCCCCCTCAGGCGATTAGTGAGAGCTTGAAGTTTGTATATCAATAAAGGGTTAGCGTATACCAATGCACGTCACTATATCTATCTATGCATATTCACTCCGGTGTTGCGCAACAAAATAAATGCAAAAAAAGGATAAAGGGTTATAGCTTAAACGTACATTACTATAGAGTGATCAACAAGATAGTCTGAATCTTCCTCCTCCGTCTTCATGTAATAAACCCGGTAAGCACGAGCCACTGATTTGATTTCTTCCGGGGTGCCCGTTAACCCAACCAAATTGGGATGAAACTCTACAACAATGAAAAGAAATGTTAGAGATATGTCATCCAGCAAACAAAGAAAACTAGATATACAAGAACTCCAACCTTTGACATATTCATGGACTTGCTGAACTGTGTCTCTTTCGGGATCCACTGAAATAAACACCGGCACAACTTCTATTCCCGACTTCTCCTCTAGATTTATGTGATAAAGCATAATGTTAGATGCTAAAGCCTATTTCAGTATCAGAAGTACTATAAAGCCATTGTGTTCAAACATCAGGACCTGGAAAGAAACATCAGGACTCACTTATTTTGTCAATCGCAGCACTTAATTTAATAAGCTCATCTGGACAGATATCCGGACAGTGAGTGAAGCCAAAGTATATGATGGACCATTTCCCCTTGAAGTCTTTCTCGCTCACACGTTTTCCATCGTCTCTTAAAAGACTGAATGGCCCTCCAATGGCTGCTTTTCCCGCAGAAGGTCCCTCCTTAACGGCTTTGGATTTGTTATTTATCTCTGGGCAAGTATAATTGCAGTCAATATACAAAAGGACATTATACAAATTGGAACTTTGAGCTGTATAAGTAAAATTTGACAAAACAATCAGGAACCACCAAGCATCTACTCGGTGATTGAAATGACTAGCAGTGTAGCACCTTTAGCGTTCACTCTTTGTCAATAGTACCAGAAACCAAATCAACAAGTGAAAGAAACTCAAAATTGTCTCAAATATTTTATGCATATGCATCACACACACACAAGCCCATGCACCTAAAAATTATAAATGTATGTATATGTACATACATACATACATACTATGTGGGTGTGTGAAAGGGTATATATACATAACACACAATTCAATTAATTAACCACCCAAGGAGCAGAATCCAAATATGTATCAAGCGCCAAACATTGGGAGACAACCAGAACAATGTTCTCTGATTGTCGTCATCAATACAATCAGGAGCCATAAAACAATTGACCATAAATGAAACTCTATGACACTGAGACATTTCAATCGCTTTGCAGCTTTTCTGCGTGTTTTCATAAATAAAAGAGCAAACTAGAGAACGACGAATCTTCTGCAATCGCAGGTAGTAGCTACCAGAAACATCAACTTCGGGTTAGAAAACAAATATTCGCTAAAATAAACTCACCATAGATGAGTACCTTCAATATGACGCTTCTTTTCCCTATCATAGTAGAAGATCAATCCAACTCCAGTAGCAACCAGCAAGAAAAAACTCATCCATGAAACGGGCTGCGATAATAATTTCCCCAATCAAACATGAGATCAAAACAAATTCGCCTAAAACCATCTAAAACAGAACATATCACCAGAAATTTCTATCGACCAGAGAATTAACTTGGGTAACAAAACCACCCCCATTTGCCATTCGATGCACAAAGAAATGATATTTTTCCATGGAAACATTTAGCGACAGAAAAAGAGAAATCAAAAATAGAAATTTACCCCTCCACGAACATCTTTCCCACTACCGGTTTTCTGATCTGAGTCGCCATCAGAACCCTCGGATCCTCCCGATTTCTCGCTTTTATCGGTATTATTAGTTTCCGGGTTATCAGAATTAGGTTTTGAGGTAGTATCAGTAGTAGAAGGGCTAAACAAACATCTCTGACCATTCTTCCACCATTGGATTCTATCGGTGACGGGGAGAATCTGAAGAAGAGAAACCAGATATGGATGAACAAATGAAAGTAGAAGTAACAAAAATAGAAGAAAATCCGAACCGATCGAAGAAGAGAGGAATCTCCATGAGGAAGCGCGTGAGAGAAGGAAGAAGGAGATGGCTGCAAAGTCCTGAGATAACTCAAGTCGCGGGGACGGAGACACCGTTGAACGGAACGAAACCGGTTAGCGGTTCTTGACAGAGCAGCCGCCATGGACGATGGTCTCGGAACTCAGATCTGCGTTGTTGTTATCCGTCGGGGTTCGGTTTACTCTGACCGCCGTCGAATGGGGGGTTTTGTGCTAAACCTCCCCAAATGAAGACTTGTTGTAGTGTCACATGAACGGCAAGCTTTGCGTCTCTCGTTTACAAAACCACTGAACAGTCCATTACAAAGCCCAGTAAGTTAATCAAGCTCCATTGGGCCGCTTGATCTGCAATTTTCAATATTTATGTTTCCACCCCAAATTTATGTATGATTCGTCTTTTAGGCCCATTTCTTTCTCTCATTTTATCCGCTTAAACACCTCTTGGGAGTCTGACATAAACTCGAAATGCCGACTAGTTAATATATTAATTTCATAAATAAAAACTAAACTTTAAATTATTTTACACAATCTTAACTTGTAGAATTAGAAAAATATTTTAGTTAATTATAGAAGCCAATCAATAACCCAGATAATTTATTTGTTGAATATGCCACTCAATAGGTGTTTTATAGTACTAACATAACGATAATTAAAAAAAACCATATTATATATAACACACGAGGGAAGCAAAGCAACAAAGGGAAATTGACAAGAGTGAAAAAGTTAGATTCTTTTATTATTTCCTTCACTCAACTGGACTCAACGGACCGATGAAGAGATCCCAAGTAATAAACTAAAAGTGTATACACATCCAGAAACCTTTCTCTTCACAAGCTATTATGACCCACTTCCATCCCAATCTTCAGATACGACCGTAGAAGATCTCAATGTCTCTTGGTCGGCTGCATCGTAATGAAAGGACAAATCTTTGAAATCCACGAAAAAGCAAAGCACGAGGCGCAAGAATGTGAAATGTAATAACTCACGTCAAAGTCCTTGGAAGCTTGCTTCAGTTGCTCTGCCAGTTCCTGCTGCTTCTGTGCAGCTGAAACAGAAGACAAAAAAAGATGCATTTTTAACCTTCCCGGATAAATTACATATCACTGCGGATGCAAATGAGGAACTAAACCAGTAAACAAACATTACCCAATTTCGAGACTTCTTCCATCTTCTTTGATGTCCTCACAGCAAACCTCTGGAAGGCAGGGCTTCGAAAAACACAACATCAAATTCGCACATTGTCAAAGATTTCAGTAAAATTTCCAGAGCAGATCAAACATAAGGCAAAATAGCCTTAAGGTACAATAAGGATCATTGCCTCAGTCTATAATGGTAATGTGTTCGGGTCATTAAGGTACAATAAGGATCATTGCCTCAGTCTCTTCACATTTAAGTGCTTCGTCATCTCTGAGAGATCGGGACAAGCCTACGAAGAGTCATCATTGACAGATAACCACAGACGAAAGCATAGTATACTACATAGCCCAGCATTAGCTATGACTGGTTTTAAGATGAACTCGCTTCAGTGAGCGCAACCCATCAAGGAAGAAATAATTTCGTGCAGCATGATCTACACAATCCAATTCACAAACTACATGACAAGAAAAAACAATAAAGCCGACCCACCAAAATGCAAATGCCTTGAACAAAGATGGCTTGGAGCTAGGTTGCTGATACAAAAGAAACATAAATCACTTTTCCTTCGAAAGAAAAATCTCTCAATCTTCCTACGCTGCAGCGTATGGTAACTTACGCAGCAGACCAGCGTGTAAGTTGAGGCTATCTCGCTTCAATTGAACGAGCCAATTAGGAACATATGTAATCCAACCGGCCAGAGAAAGAAGCTCATACCATCAACCATAAAACGTATGAACACGCAAACAACGAAGCACGAACCTAGCTAATGACGAAAATGATACCTGTTCGCCAAGCCATTAACTATGATCTCGTTTGCGAGGTAAGATACAACCCTATGGATGAAGTTTCCTCCCGCCATTATCGAGATCTCCCTTCGGATTCCCTGTCAGAAAGAAAGGCGAAAAAACCCTAGCGTAAAAACCAACAAATATCAAACAAAATTAGGGGAAATACTAGCTCTAGATTACCAAATTCGAATATAGAGAGAGGACAAAATTGGACGGAGAAACAACATAACCGATTAAAAAAACAAAAACTGGGATCGATCAGCGATTCACGAAGAAACTTCACACGGATTCTGCGAAATCCTTCACAAAAATTAGATATGGAACGAGGAATTGAGAAATAATATGGACGCAGCGTGGATTACCTAACGTAAAAAAGCAGACCGAAGAAGGACCTTCGAGATCCGACGAACACAACAACAACTCCCAGCTCTACGATATCAGGTTATAAATATATAGAACGTGAAAAGTTCGTTGTGGCGGCGTGTGTTTTTTGGGCGCTTCCGTCCTAGGGTTGCATCGGACGGCTGTGAAATCTTAGTTTGAATCGGACGGCAGAGATTTGCACCACGCGAAAGCACCAAATTCACAAGTGGGCCGAACTGTGTGTCGTTTCCCGCAACATTTATGCATGGGCCGAACAGATTTTTTGTTTCAGATATTAATGAAATATGGGCCTAACTTTGCCATTTTTCCTTTTTTCATTTTTGTAAGCCTTTTAAAAAATACAAATATGAGGAGGTCTTGTTAGAATTTCCAATTATACCCTCCGCTTATAGCCATATTTACAAATGAGCGAGGAGGATCTGATTCCACGTGTCGGGCAAACCAGGGAGGCACCAGTGTATACAATCAGCGTACCGCATAGGATTGGCCCTCTCCTTAGCCGTTAAGATGATGCCACCTGTCTCGGTGTAGACAGATGTGTGGCCGTCGATGCGGTACTCTGAGAGCTGAGTGATGTTGAGGAAGGTGACGTGGCTCTTCATCCTCTTCACGACGC